AATATATAATTTTCCAAGAACTTTTAAAGAAACTCCACTTCTTGCTTATACCAAAAGTGGCTAAAAACCGTTAAATCTCCATCGTGTTACGGTCCGAATATTGTCTAATAATTAATTCTATGAATCCCACAAAATTATAAGACCAATGACATACTTGAAACATGCTTCTGTCACATTTCAACCATAGCTTGAAGTATCTTTATCATAAGTGATATGGTTATATATTCACTTATAGTACATTGGATTCACTTTAATTGTTCGACCTTTATGAACCAGACACATGTCTTCAAACTATAGTTTTGGTGTGTTGAACTTAATTATCAGTGGGAATATTAGTGTTAACCTAATCACGTTATATATCAAACATGTGTTCAAACTTTTTTCAACACCTACATCTTTTACAACGGTCGATGTCTTTTTTTGTCAACCACTTATATCTTATCATAAAAAAAAACATTAAGCAGGAACAAAAATGTGTACAAATCTTATCGTTAAATTTGTAAATGCTGTTTAGCAAAAAAAAAAAAAATTTGTAAATGTTGCATATAAAAATTTGTAAGGGTTATATATAATATTATCGTGTGTGTGAATGTAAAGAAAGTAATGAAAATTAAGATAGAGGAAGAGCCGTACAGAAATGGAAGATAGATAAGTGAAAAAGAGAGTTAAAGGGAGAAGATTCAATATCATTTTGCAAAGTCTCTAAATAATTTGGAGTATCTATGAGTCATCCCTCTTTGTGCTCCATGTAGACCTCCCAATCATTATTACCCACACTCACTTATCTCTAGCTCTATTGATTATATACTCTCTATTTATGTATACATACAGCATCCTAAACACTGTATATATGGATGTGTATCGTAAGAAAAAGAAAAGGGAAGCATTATTGATCATTAAAGGTATGGTGTATAAGAAAGAAGCAATGGAAACTTTTTGTTTTCTCCATGCGTGATCTAAAGAAATATCTACGTTTTCTTTGTTAATTTTGTGTTAAATATCTATATTTGTCCTACACGAAATATGGTGACACAAGAAAGTAAAACATATAAACAGTCGATCGGAATAGAATTCGTAGGAGTGACATTTTTCTTACTTAAGAAAGTGGTAAGATTTATAAAAACTGTTAATAGAAAAAAAGAAAAGAAAAAGGGTTTACTCGTGTCACTGCCTTGCATGTCAAGTACTACGATTCCAAACATTTTAATCATTAAACAATTTATTTGTTGTTGATTTAATAGTTACAAAACAAAATTAAAGGACATGGGGAAAGAGAAAGAGCGCACTCATGTGGAGCCAAGTGAACAAATGAATTTGACTATAACATTTATCTTTAATCGTATATTGATTATAACAGAATTATATGGCTTTTTGTTCATCAAATAGGTTTTTCGCAATAGTTAAAACTTAAAATGTTAGGTCTCTGATTGCTAATTAGCATTTGTAGTATATTGTTTGGACGGGTTCAACCCGACTATGAAAAATGTTGAGTTATTACGAAATTTATGAAAGTTTTCATGCATAAACTAATGATTGTGAATGAAAAAGATAGTAAGAATAACTGTTTTAAATAGTTTTATTGCACGATCAGTTTTAACGGTCACCGCCTTAAATCTACTACATCTACATCTATTTGCCAAATTTAACAAACAAACAAAACATTTTTAACCGAGAATTCAAGCAAGCATTATCACAAGCAAGATCTTCAGCAATATGACGTTTAGATACTTGAAAATCGAAAGGAATAATCGCTAAAACATTTTAATTTTTTTAATATTAATTCAATTCGAATCGGTTAAAATAATGATTGTGCGTTATGTAAGTACCAGAAAAAAAAATTATGCGTCCATTTTCCACTACACATCCAAAATAAAACATATTTTAGTATGCAGTTTTGCACACTAAAATATTGTTTCAGTTTGGTTTGATCCAGAGTAGACTGAGTAACCATCCAAAAGTCTTATCTTGTTTCGTTCTATCATTTGTTTTGTCGATAGATCTCAACAAACCCATAGAAGAAATAAGATCTTCCAAAAAAGTAATACACACCAAATAGGTGGTGGTTTAGTGGTAATATAAAGGAGTTTGTTCCTTTATATCCAGGATCAAACTCCCTTTAAGATAGACGGAGAGTTCATTTTTAAATTAGAATATCCAAAAACTGTTTTCGGTTACCGAAGAAATTATAAGTAAAAGATTCCGAACTACAAAAAACAAACAAACGGTAACACAATTTTTTTTCTCCACACAACAACAAAACACAAAAGAAACCTTATACAAGCAGCTTACGCGTGTTCGTTTTAATCCGTACGATGGGGAACCCACAGTTTTCGACCTAGATATTGGGGTAAGTAGAAAAGCAGCTGTGTGTGAGACCCATTTGTTCACCGGAAACGACGGATAGAGAGGTTCCCGCCATCTGAGGAAACAATATTAGATCACAAAGTCTGAGCTGTAATGCATATAATCAATGGGTCCCACTTAGCGTCACGTCATCACGTGAACACAGTGCGCCGACTCCACTGGATTACTCCTCCCTTCCGCAAATT